AGAATCATATGCCCAGCAAAACTGTCCCTCAAAAATGATGGTGAGATTTGGACATTTTCTGATAAATAGAAATTAAAGAAATTTGTAAAGACCAGACCAACTTCAGAAAAAATGTTAAAGGGTATTCTTAGGACTGAGAACCAACAACAGCAGACAACAACCTAAGATTACCACACATGACACCACCACCCAGAACTCAATCCATATATAGAAATATTTAAAGTAAAACAAACCTACAAGACTGAAAATAGGGAACAGAGACATCAATGCATAATAAAGTCCACTACAAAAAGAGGCAATAGTGTAGATACAGAACTTCCAAATGATAAGGAAGTCAAGTAGATTTCAAGGCAAAACAGACTGATTTAAACTGGGAAAAAAAATTTAATAAATTACAGGGTAACCTCAAAGAAAAATAATATACCTGCATATCAAAACAACAACAAAAAAAGGAAAATCAGAAAGATTTAGTAAACATTAACACAACAGAAATGAAAGTAAAGAGAAAACCTACAAACGAAATGAACTCAGCATAGAAAACTATGTGGACAAAGAAACCGGCAGCACCATACACACATTAAACACACACACACAGGAAAATGACAACAATCAATTCATAGCTATTGATAATTACACTGAACGAAATAGATTAAATGTACCAGTCAAAAGACATAAAGAGCAGAGTGGATAAGAAAACAGGATTCTTCAATATGCTGTCTATAAGAGACATATCAAAAAGATGGAGACAGCCTAAATGTCCATCAACAGAATGAAAAAACAAACTGGTGCATGCACAAAATGGAATAATAGAAAACATTTAAGAATAATGATGAATCTGAGAAACACCTCACAACATGGTTGAACCTGGAGGACATTATGCTGAGTGGAATCAGTCAAGCACAATAAGACAAATACTGTATAAGAAAGACCAATGTAAAAAGTTAAAGGTTTTCTTGATAAAAGAAATAATGTTGCATGGTTATGGGAGTGGGATGAGGGAAAGTTATTCTTGGGCTAGAGGATAGACACATGTTAACATGGGTGATGGGAGGCAAGATACAAGAGGGAGATTAGCAGAGGAAAGATGAAATAGGAGACACAGGGAGGAATGCAATATTTAAAGTGAACTGCTAAAGTAAAGTAAATGCTGTTAACTGATGGTACATGGAGGGGATTGCAACCATTGTAATGAAGCAAAGTATACGATTTGCTGAATGTAAAACTGATGATCTGCTTTGTATACCTTCACTCAATTCACACACACACACAAAAAAATTGAAAAAAGATTAAAAAAAAAAAAAAAAAAAAAAAAGAGAGTTACAGTCTTGGAAACTCTATGGAGCAGTAGTACTCTGTCTTATTGGTCACTATGAATGGAATTGACCCAATGATAGCGTTTTTTGTTTTATTTTTGGAATCTGGGAGTTGGTCAGAATCAGTGAAGGTGGAGCCAAGAAATTTAAAACTCAGATTCTGGCACATTACTCTTATCCCCAATCTGGGGTTACTGCCACTCTGGGTGGGTGGGTGAAGGAATAACAACCCTGTGGGGAAAGGGATAGTTACTATTATTTTCTTCCTCCAGGAAAAGACATACCCTGAGACCCTAGAAGGTAACTGTAGAGGTAAAGCTCAAAACCTCAGTGCCATTAGGCGCAAACTTAGGTGCTCTAAGACATAGCATAACTACACTGTCAAACAGTACAAAAAATGCACAAGCAGAAGACAAAATAGATGACTAGGACCTCCAAAAATTAGAAACTTACGTGCACCCAAAGATTTCACCAAAAGAGTCAAAAGGGAGCCCACAGACTGGGAAAAATTTTTCTGCAATGATGTATCAGACAAATGACTAATAAAACTATAATATCTCTACAAGAAAAAGACTAAGAACCCAATTTAAAAATGGGCACAAAGCATGAATAGACACTTCACTAAGGAAGACATCCAGGCAGCCAACAAACATATGAAGAAATGTTTATGATCGTGTCATTAGAGAGATGCAAATCGAAACAACAGTGAGCTATCCCACACCAACATTAGCAGTGAAGTTAAAAAAAATAGAAAATAATAAATGTTGGTACAGGTGTGAAGAGACTGGGACCTGCCTACATTGCTGGTGGAACTGTAAAATGGTTCAGCCACTCTGGAGAACGGTATGGTGATTCTTCAGAAAGTAGGAAATGGAAATATCTCATGACCCAGCAATCCCTCTTCTTGTATGTTGTTGTTGTTGTTAAGTGCTGTCAAGTTGATTCCGACCCATAGCGACCCTGTACAGGGTTTCCGAGGCTGTAAATCTTTACGGGAGCAGAAACCCTCATCTTTCTCCCGCAGAACAGCTGTTAGTTTCGAACTGCTGACCTTAAGGTTCACAGCCTGATTCGTAACCACTATGCTACCAGAGCTCTTCTTGTATAGCCACAGGAAATACAAGCCAGGACACAAGTAGATATATGCAGACTGATGTTCATCGCAGCACTATTCACAAGAGCAAAAAGATGGAGACAGCCTAAGTACCCAACAATGGAAGAATGGATAAACACACCTTGGTACATACACACAATGGAATACTACACAACACTGAAGCATAATGATGAATCTGTGAACATCTCATAATTTGGATGGGCCTGGAGGACATTATGCTGAGTGAAATTAGTCAATCATAAAAAGACAAATATTGTATGAGATCATTATTGTAAAAGCTTCCAGACTAAAAGAAACATTCTTTGATGGTTATCAGGGGTGGGAGGGAGAAGAGGAGAGAATAATTCACAGGCTAGTTTATATTAGCTCAGGTGATGGGGAGGGCAATATACAAGAGGGGGGATGGCTGAAGACCGGTGAAGACACAGGGAGGTATGCATGGGATAAAGGAGATAGAGGTCAATAGTGATATATATACAACCTTGGAACAACAGTGTTCTGTGCATAGATACGCCACAGAGTCTCTTAAACTCCTAAATATATATATTCCACAAATATTTAGGAGTTTAAAAGAGAAAAAAAGTAACATTCTTTGATGGTTGCCAGGGGTGGGAGGGAAAGGAGGGTAGTTTACTATCTAGAGGGCTGTTGGTGTTAAGTGCTGTCCAGTCAGTTCTGACCCATAGTGACCCTGTTTCCAAGGAGTGGCTGGTGAGCTTGAACCACTGACCTTTGAAGTTCAAACCGACTTTGCAGTCCAGTGCATTAAATCACAGCGCCACACCAGGACTCCCAGCTAGAAGGTGGTGGTGTGCCGTGGAGTCAATTCCGCCTCACAGCAGCCTTGCATAGGGTTTCCGAGGCTGTAAATTTTTACAGGAGCAGAAAGCCTCATCTTTCTCCTGTGTCCCGCTAGTTGTAGTTTCAAACTGTGAGGTTAGCAGCCTGATTTAGCATCCCAACTCGTAACCACTACACTACCAGAGCTCCTTCCAGCTAGAAGGTAGACACATGTTAATTCAGGTGACAGGGAGGACAGCATATAAGAAGGGAGGTTGGCAGAAGAATGATAAAGACAGGTGAAGACACAGATATACAAGGGCCAAAGGGAATAGAGGTAATTAGTGATATATATATATATATAGATAGATAGATAGATAGATAGATAGAGAGAGAGAGAGAGAGAGAGAGTGAGGATGTGGCGCTGTGGGCTAATGCGTCAGATTGCAAAGTTGTTTGAACTGCAAGGTTGTTGGTTCAAGCTCACCAACTGCTCCTTAGAAACCCTACAAAGGGTTGCTATGGATCAGAATTGACTTGATGGCACTTCACAACAAAACAACAATTACATATATATATATAAAAAACCTTGGAATGACAATGTCCGGCTGAATGGGAGGAAGAGTGGAATATATATACATACATATATATATATATATTCCACAGATAAACAAGAATTTGAAAGAGGATACTGATACATGAGTATTTACCTTTCCTTCAAATACAGTTATGAATGTGGTAGAGCATACAACAGGCAAAATGATGAAAACTTCTTAGATATTATCAAACATCTTAAGGCAATGAGTAGCTGAGTCTGGGGGCTCAGGACTATCGTCTAAGAGGACACCTGGTCAATTGGCATAACACAGTCCACAAAGACAATGTTCTACATCCTAGTATGGTGAGTAGTGTCTGAGATATTAAAAGCTCATGGGTTGCTATTTAAGGTGTAACTACTGGTCTCTCCATGTGCAGAAGAAAGAAGAGTGATAAGAACTGAAGATGCTTGGAATCAGTCCAACAGACTAATGGAACGAACATGTGACCATCAGTCTCCATGACTCTGAGACCAGAACTAGACAATGCCCAGCTACCACTACCAACGGCTCTGAAAGGGATCACATTAGAAGGTCCGGATTGTTATTGTTAGGTGCCATCGAGTTGGTACCGACTCATAGCGACCCTATGCACAACAGGAGGAAACACTGCCCAATCCTGGGCCAACCTCACAGTTAGAGCCACGAGAATATGTGGAACAAAACTCAAAGTTATAAAAACAAAACAAAAAAATGGGCTTACTTGTGAGAAAGACACTGGAGGAACTCAAGACTATGGCCCTTGACCACCCTTCAGGTCTGGAAAGTAACTCACCCTAGTGGCTCAACTTTGAGCCAAGCGGTAGATAGGTTTATAGGAATATAGGATGAACAACAACCCTAGTAAGGTATGCTCACGATGAATGATGGAACAGTCGATCATTCAAAATCAAAGGGACAACGTGTACCTAAGGACAAAGGTGAGAAGGGATGGGAAGGTGAGTGAAGGAAATAGGAGCCACAGCGAGGAAGCCGTTGAACTGCTGTTCCATGGAGGGGATTGCAATCATTGAGATGAAACAAAGTACATTATTTGTTGAGTGTAAAACTGATGATCTTGTCTGTAAACCTTCACTCAATTCACAACAAAAAGTTAAAAAACAATCAAAAAAAGCCCTAAGTGTCCAGGGCCTGGCGTGGCACACAGTTGAGTTTTCAAGGGCCAAGAAGTGCCACAGAAAGCACCTGGCCTGTAGGTTAGGAGGCTGGGGTTTTAGGCTCAGCTTTAATCTGACTCCGGTGTATGACCTTAGACAAGTCTGGTGAGTTCTGAGAAGCAGGGTAGGGTTCAGAAACGGCGGGGTCCTCAGCCTGGGAACTCCTCAGAGAAAATGGGGCCTCTGCATCCTCAGGCTGGGGATCTTCATTGGATTCAGCTTCCTCCCCAGACCCCAGTCTTGCAAGTCTCTTGCTGACCTCCCACAGCCGGTGGGCTGCCCGATCATCTCGGGCAGCTGGGGGTACTTCCTCCACATGGCAGTTAGCAAAGTATCTCCCACTGAAGGGTTCAATGCCTTCCTGTAGAGCACAGTACAGAGGTGTTTGGGCACCCCCTCTTGGAGCTCGCAGCACCAGCCAGGCTAGTGGGCACAGAAGTGGGCGCAACCATCCTGGAACATGGCGCAGGAAGAGCTCTGAGTTCACAGGCCCTGGGAGTAGGAAGAAAGGATGGAATAGGGAGTGAGATTCCAAGGTAAGGGCAGTAGAAATAGGGTTAGTGGCTCCAGAGAAGTCAAAGGTAGTATTTACCAGGCATTCAGGGCCCCCTCAATGTGACCTCACTATTTCCTACAGGAAGCCTCCATTCAAACTATGCACACAATTCCCAGACTTTGCTCATGCCATGTCCTGCCTGAAACAATTCTCTCCATCTTTATCTTTCAGCTCAAGCTCTACATCGTGGTTTAGCCAGTAAGTATCTATTGAGTACCTATATTGTACCAGCCACTGTTTTAAACGCTAGGGATATATAGTGTAACAAAGGCTTAATAAAGGTTAGCTGTGATTATTATTAGGAGTGCTGGTGATGCAGCGGTTCTAGTACTCTGTTGCAAACCAAAAGATGGACTGTTAAAACCCAAGTGCTCCACTGGAGAAAGATTCAGCAGACTGTTTCTGTAAAGATTACAGTCTTAGAAACACTATGGGGTAGTTTTATGCTGTCCTACAGGGTCAGTATGAGTCAGAATTGACTTAATGACAATGGGTTTGATTTGTTTTTTGGGGGTGATTATTATTTCTGTGGAACTCTGATGTGATGTAGGATACACGCTGGACTGTTAATTGCAAAGTTGGTAGTTCAAACCCATCAGCTGCTCCTCAGAAACCCCATACAGGGTCGCTATGAGTTGGAATCAACTCAATGAAACTTAACAATTATTGTTGCTATTATAATTATTAATAATTATTTTATAATTAGGCAATGGCTACCTAAAATGCAGTTGTTGTTGTTGTTAAGTGCCGTCGAGTTGGTTCTGACCTACAGTGACCCTGTATAGGGTTTCCGAGGAGCAGTTGGTGAGTTTGAAGCGCCGACCTTGCAGTTTAAAACAACCTTGCGGTTGAGTGCTTATCCTACAGCATCACATCAGGACTCCTAATATACAGTATGGTATAAGAATTCTTATTATACCTCTGTAATTTTCTGAAAGGCACATGGGTCTTATTTACTAAATTTTTACTCAGTAAAAGTCAATATGCTTACAAGGGACCCTAGATGAGGCAATCAATCTCTTGGATCTCATCTCCTTCCACTCTCCCCCTTCACTCTGTTCCAATCACACCAGACTCCCTCGTCTTCCTCAAGTACCCCAGCCACTTCTGCTTCTAGGTCTTTGCACTTGCCACAGGGCTCACTCCTTCACCTTCTTAAGGACCCTGCTCAAATGTCACCTATTCAAGTAAGTCTTCCATGATTGCCATAGAAAAAGTAGCACCCTCTCCCCACATCCTTATCCTGCTTTAGCTTTCCTCATAGGAGGGGACCTTTATCACCATCTCTCACTGTACAAAAGAGCTCTGGTGGTGCTGTAGGCTAAACATTGGACTGCTAACCTCCAGGCTGGTGGTTCAAACCCACCAGCCACTCCTTGGGAGAACGATGATGTTGTCTGTTCTAATAAAGCTGTATAGTCTTGGAAACCCTAAGGAATAGTTCTGCTGTGTCCTATAGAGTTGCTATGAGTTGGAGGTGACTTGGTGGCCGTGAGTTTGGTTTGATTTGGTCATTGTACAGATTTATTTCTTCATTATCTGGCTCCTCTTGCACACTGGCATGTAAGTTCTATGAGGGTAGGGTCTTTGTTTTGTTCATTGCTGTGTTTGTTCTCAGCACTAGTAGGTGCTCAGTAAATGCTTCTTGCATTAATTAATGGTTATTGGCTATCATCATCAATGATAGATAGTTCAGTATGGACGGCTCTTTGAGGGTGAGGACCCGGGTCTTATTTGGTGCTACACACCAAGTGTGTGGTGTGAGAGGAAGAAAACTTAGACTAGGAAATCTGTTCCAAGATCAGTAGAGGGGACTTGGGACTTTGTCCTAAGGTTCTGTGGCCTAGTGCAAAGGCGGGGGGGCATAAAATGGGACATGGATAGGAGAGGAGGACTTAGAAGAAACCAAGTAACTAGGCCTCACCTGGGTGGGCTGCGTAACAGGTAATGCCAGTGCCTTCAAGTTGGGTGGCGAGTTGCCGGACAAATAATACGTTGGCCAGCTTACTGTCAGCATATGCTCGGAGTTCCTGCTGCCGGCCAACCACAGGATGGTTCAGACGGGTGAAGTCCAGGCACCCACGCCGGTGTGCAGCTGATGATACCACCACCACACGGCTGGGGGTACATGTTTTCAGTCGGGACAGCAGCAGTTGTGTCAGCAGGAAGGGGCCGACATGGTTCACCCGCAGCAGCAGGTTAAAGGGCTCACGTGTCCGGCCACAGGAACTGATGCCTGGGGCAAGGACTAGGCATGAGTAGTTGCTCTGTGGGGAGCACTAAAGGTCTCAGTATCCCCATCTAGGAGATGGGAGTAAAGGGCATCCTTGCCACATGAACTCGGTCCCCTACCCACCAGCCCCGCCCCACCTCCTCCGGGGCTTGCTGCTCCTCACCAGCATTGTGTATAAGGATGTCTAGCCGTGGTTCAGAGCTCAGGAAGGCAGTGGCAAAAGCTCGCACAGAGGCCAGACTGGCCAAGTCCAAGGCCATGAAGATGATCTCATTGTTTCCACTTTCCTGTGGAGTAGCAAGACTGGGTTTGTCACGACGCACCTGTCTCCTCTTCCTTCTCCCCAAGCACCAAATTCTGCGAGCCCACCTCCTCCTATTACTAAAATCTGTCCCTGTGCATTAGAGTGTAGTGAATACATGTGTGGAATCTGGATGCAAATCTTGACTTTGCTTTTTATTAGAGTGTGACCATAGGCAACATACTTAATCTTTCTGAGTCTCAGTTCTGTCACTGTAAAATGTGAATAGTAGTACCTACCTTATAGAGCTGTAAGGATTAAATTTATTAATATATGTAAAATATTTAGAAGAGCGTCTGAATGGAGGGGATTGTAATCATTGAGATGAATCGAAGTGTATTCTTTGTTGAATGTAAAACTGTTGATCTTGTCTGTAAACCTTCGCTCAATTCACACACTTGAGTAGATACTTACTATTATAACCCGCTCTAAAATCTGCAATACATTTCTAATTGTTCTCTTATCCATTCTTGTCCCCATCCAGACCAGGCACCATACAGCAACCAAGAGATTGGTTCTAAAAGGCTATTTTGACTTGGTGGAGATCCTGATCAGGCCTCTTCACTGGCACATCACTGCCCATCCTATAAAATCCAAGCTCCTCAAAGAGATCTATAAGGACCTCTGTAGCCTGACCCTAGTTCAAAGCCTTCAACCCCTCATTTGCCCCTCCTCCCCCCACTTTGTGCCCCAACCTCACTAAACCGTTTTACCTTTCTCAAATCAGACTTGCTATTTTGCCTCAGGATCTCTACATATACCTGTTCCCACCCCTACCGTCCTTCATTAAGTCCTGCTGAGTCATAAACATCTTAGGTCAGCAATCCTCCTCCACCCCATTTGGGTCTGGTGTCCCTTCCTTGTGTGACCACTGAACCGTGAGAGCCTTCTTCTGCACTTAGTACACCAAGCCATCGTACTCTCCTTACACAGTAGATCCTTTGGAGCCGTTTTGCTCATTCCTTTGCACTCACTGACTGGTGTCTGGTTCCCTATTCCACCCACCCCCATCCTTAGTTACCTGGCGGAGGTCATAAGCGGCCGCCTCACCCCGTTCCCGACTGCGGCAGGCCAGCACCACGCGCGCTCCACGGCGCGCCAGCTCCAGCGCCGTCATCTTCCCGATGCCGCTGTTGGCGCCTGCAGATGGCGGGCGGGAACAGAGCTGAGCGCGGCGGGCCGCCCCCACAGCCCCGGCCGCCCACTCGCTCGTCCACCCTCACCAGTGACCACGGCTGTGCGGCCCCGCAAGTTGGCGATGCCGCCGCACGGCGGGGCCTTCACTAGGTTGTAGTAGATAAGCACGTAGGCGCCTAGCAGCAATCCCGCGCCCAGTAGCAGCGCCTCCATTCTGGTTGTGTTTGTGGGCTGCCACCTAGGCCCTGCGCCTTCCTGGATCTCCGCCCGGAGGCTGCCGATTCACCCTGCTCAGGCCTGGAAGGAAGCCTGGTGCGCCTCGGCCTCCGGGAGGGAAGGAAGGCAGGGCAGGGGTGTGTGCGAGCGTGTGTGTGTGGGGGTGGGGGGAACCTGCGAGCGCCCTCTAGGAGTGCATCGCGTCCTTGTGTCTGTGAACTGTCCATGTATCTGCATCGTTTGTGCCTGTGAATGCCTTCTAGGTGTGTATGTGTCCAGGGCCTCTGTGCTCACGTTTCAAGTTATGTGTATGCCTTTGAATTCTCTTTGTGCAGGGGCAGATTACCCAGTAAACAAGGTAAACACAGGTTTACCGGTGCTTTTTTTTTTTTTTTTTAAACTAATCTGTAGTGAACAATTTCATGGTCTGTCACCACATCAAATATTCTGCTTCTAGAAATGTATGGCTGGCATTTCTTTCTTTCCCAACCGCACAACATCTTTCTGCAGAATCAAAATATTTTCAAATGTACGATCGTTAATGATGAAGTACCCAATAAGCAAGGTAAGCATGAATTTAGTGGTGAACTGCTCACTACAGATTAGTAAACACAAAATAAGCCCGTGCTTACCTTGCTTATTGGGTAATCTGCTTCTGTCCATGTGATTACCCGGTGGGTAGGTGTTCGTGTATTCGTGGGCCCTTACAGTGCCACATAAGTGTGTGTGTCAGTGTAAGCACCTTTTAGATGTAGGTGTGTACATGGGCCCAGAGTCCTTGCCAGGTGTGTGTATGCTTTCGTAGTGTCTGGCAATGTGTATATTTGAATGAAGATCTTGGTATGCCCTCTGCAGGTGTGCTTCTGATGCCTCTAGCTGAGGGCTTGCAGATAGTTTCTATGTGAGGGTGTGTGTGAGTCCTCTCGGTGTGTGTAGCAGAATCCTTGTCTTCTTGATTCACATGTGTACGTGAATGCTCTTGTCTCCAAGAGAATGAGTCCAATCTTTGGCCTCTTTCCCTCAATAAACAAATCCTTAATTGCTATCTTCACATCTGTTTCCCTGCGTATAAGATTCTTCCTTGTTCTCCCCAAGGAGGCCAGAGAGATGCAGTATATTCAAGGGTTTGTTGTTAGGTGCCATCGAATTGGTACTGACCCATAGTGATCTTATGCACAGCAGAACGAGTGCTGATGTGGTGCTGTAGGATAAAGCACTAGACTTAAAGGTTGGTTTGAACTGCAAGCTTGGTGGTTCAAGCCCACCAGCTGCTCCTTGAAAACCCTATATAATAGGGTTGTTGAGTCAGAATTGACTCATGGCCTGTAACATCATCAGTTAAGACTTGTTAGGCATCACTCACTCATTTGCTGTCTTCCTGCTTCTGCAGACTTCATTTATTCTGAAGGGAATCAGGAAGAAAGTAAAATCTATAGTCTACCCTTCAAGAGTTTCTACCACGTGATTGAACTAAAACTCCATCACTCCATGGGAGAAGTAACTATGGTGGTGAGATGGGTGGTGAAGCTAGGGAGGCACAGGTAAAGGCATTCTTGGTCAGCTGACTTTCCAGGATGCGAAGCAAGGACCTTGTTAAAGAAATGCAGTGTTTTAAATTGTAGTAGTATGGTTAGCTTTCAGAAAAAACTAATGGAATAAAGTTCTTGCCACTGGGTTATTCTGGGAAGAGGGAACAGTGTATGAAGACAGAGCGTGTCAGACCTCAGATTCCAGGGGAAGTTAATTTATTAAGACCTAAAATTTTACTGGACTTCTGATATGGCGCTGTAGGATAAGCACGGGACTGAAAGATTGATTTGAACCTCAAAGTTGGTGGTTCAAACTCACCAGCATCAGAAACCCTATACAGGGTGCTATGACTTGATGGCACCTAACAAATTTTATTAGTACACATCTCCACCAATTTTCAGAAATAAGGGCATTTCCTATTTAATTGTACAGTGGATTCAAGGCTCAACTGTAGTTGCTGTCAAGAGAAGCTGGAGTGTTAATGAAATAGACGTGTTTTCCATCCTCAAGACAAAATCCTGATAAGCCAATAGGACTCACTCCCAACAGTCCTGGGTGTTCTAAGGAAAAAAACAAACCAACCTTGGAGTTTCTCATGTCAGGTGTGGAGTTCGACACGAGAGCACCCTCAAGAGCTTTAGGATAAGGCAATGTATTGCCCACCTACTGATGAGGAACTGTTGTAGAGTTGTGATTATAAATCTCATTAGAGGTGGTATGGATCAGTCTAGGCTGAATTTCCACCTTTCTTCCCCAAGATGTTTGAATCACCCCTAAAGGGCATTCTCCCTTAGATCCAGAGAAAGAATTCATTTCTCATTTGTTCATAATACACAGTAGCTACCTGTACTGCAACTACAGCAGAAAACGAAAATAACTTGGAGTGTAGGAATCATGGGAGGAGGGTGGGTAGCAATCTTTATGCTAAATAAAACTGATATTGTATAGATTGTGCTGTATGAAATTGCTCAGCATTTCAGTTAGGTACCAAGAGGCAGAGGCCATATCTGCACTGTTGAATGCAGTGTCCCCTAAGATCTTGCACAGGCCAGGCACTGAGGAGTGATTCAAGTAAAACCAGACGTTTAGACTTCTCCCAGAATAAGAAAAAAACGTGACAGCAAACACTTCGAATCAAAGGCAGCCGCAATTCTGTAGGTTAATGCTTCTAAATAGAAGGCAGGTTTTGTACTAGCTTCAGTTTAATGTCTTGGTTTTGGAGCCAACAGGTACAGGGACTCCCATCCCTAGTCAAGGAACCTACACTTTTTTGAATTCTTGAGGAATCATACCAAATGACTAGGCTTTCTAAAAAGTCATCCATAGTCACACAGTAGCCCCTACTCTTAACAGGTGCGCCACACCCTTCCATTTCCCCAACCCACCATGGGCTCCTGTTCTGTATCACCTCCCACTCTGGATTTCCCTTGATGGCTGAGTATCTGGGGATGAGACCTATCAAAGGCTTCCTCACTTGTGGACTCAGGGCCTAAGGGAGGGTCCCCTTGAGGGGTGATGACAGGTATGACAGACAGGCAGAAAACATAATTTGAAGTATTTTTGTTTTTTATATACAGAATACAGTAAAGTTTCTGTAAAGTCTAAAACATTACAATTACTATGTACATTGGTACTAGTTGTCAGGTGGGAGAAGGGAGTCAGGGATGGGAGGAAGAGAAGTGGCAAGAGAACAAAAAAAGGAGACAAAACAGGTTTACGACAAAACGTTTTTGCTACAATAGACAATTTGAAGAAAACGCTCTACCACATGTAGTACTGTACACAGTTTTTAAAAACATTGAAAAATGTCATCACTAGATGTATTTACACAAAATCCAAATACACTTTTCCTTATTTGAAATAAAATAGATGGACAGCCAGAAAAAGAATCATTTCTCATTTGTCCATAATACACAGTAGCTACCTGTAGTGCAACCGCTGCAGAAAGGGAAAATAACTTGGAGGTTGGGAATCATGGGAGAAGGGTGGGTAGCGATCTTTATATTAAATAAAACAATGATATTGTATAGATTTTGCTGTATGAAAACTGTATTTTTTTCTTTTAATATAAAACTATTGTCACTGCCACAAAATAGAACAAGTTTCTGATTATTTTACAACGGCGGGTGGGCGGGGAGGGCATGAGGTGGGTGGGGAAAGGTTTTGTGTTGGAGGAAGCATCCAGACCATAGCCTCCCCCCTCCCTGCCCTTGCTGTTCCTCAGCTCAGGTCTGCCGATTTCCCATGAAATGTTGAGTACAAATATATGTGCAAATGCCCCTAGAACTTGAGAAAAGAAAAAGGATTTTTAAAAAACAGTCAAAAGGTTTTCTTCATTTCATGCAAAGATTGTAGTTGAAGGGTTTCTGGTGGCGTATAAAAAAACCCGGGCTTGGTTTGTGTACATTTTTGCATTGCAGGAGTCTTGGGTTGGGTGGACAGGTAGGTGGTGGGGTTGCCACCAGCCCTAGGGAATGGAGTTGGAGCGCAGCACAGGGCCCTGGTGGGGCTTGAGGGAGAGTTTCTCAGCCAAGACCCCATCCTGCAGTAGGCCGGCATCGCCTTTGGGCTGTTTGGTTGCAAACTCAGTGATGCTGAAAACAAACTGCAGACACCCCAGCTTGATGTAGCTGCCATGGTGCAGTAAGGCCGTGCCTTCCCAGCCGGCCCCACTGCCCCCAATCAAGCTTGAGCTGCTGGCTTTACAGTTGCAGGGCTTCCGGTGAGGCCCCTGGGCCTGGGAGCTCATCATGGCTGCCTCTTCACTTGGCTCTTCATCCTGTTTCTGGTGCCTGTGGCGCCCTGGGAAAGAGGAGGATGGTTACAAGGGAGGAAGTGTGAGCAGCCGCAACCCGCTCCCTCCTCCACACCTAATTCTAACTGCTGCAGGACTAGGGTGAGGAGGCTCAGAAAGGGCTGGAAGAGGCAAAAGTCCCCATATAGATGTGTATACATATGCTAGTGCACTGTACATGCTTCTCCATGGCCTTCCATGGACTTTAAGGCAAGGACAGACTGACCAGGAGTGAAAGGCAAGACAAGAGCTAAGAGCCAGCAAACCACAGTCAGCCTGACTGGGGCTTCAAGGATGTGTCAAAAAGTGGCTGGCCACTCAGCTCCAACTTACTGATGACACTCTGCACTTTGGCAACAATACTGCTTGGGGGGGTTGGCGGGGTCTTCTCAGAGAAGTCACATGAATACAGCACATTGTCCACCGTTGTCCCGTGCTCACTGTAGTTTAACAGCTCATAATGTTTGGTATTCTGAGGAGGAGGAGGGAAGATAAGATGTGTGGTCTGCTGCCTGGGGCTAAGGGGAGAGAGGACATATGGAGAAGGCTGTGCTGCTCTACTAAGGGAATCTGTCTTCTCAAGCATGGCACCCTCTAGGAGGGGGCTCAAGATTCACCTCCTGTAGGAACCCCTCCTTCCTAGCACCCATGCCCCCTGCACTCCCACCACTCC